CACACACACACACCCACACACACACACACACACACACACACACACACACACACACACACACACACAGACAGACAGACAGACAGACAGACAGACAGACAGACAGACAGACAGACAGACAGACAGACAGACAGACAGACAGACAGACAGACAGACAGACACACATACACACACACATACACACACACAGAGCAGAGCTTGAATGACACACTGAGACCCAGAAGTAAGCTACTTGTACTCACAAGGCCTATTATGTGCAGAATCCCTCTCGCTTTCAGGTGGTTTTGATTGAGTGTCCACACGTGGACGTTTAAGGACTAAAAAATGATCAATTGTTCACTTTGCTGTTAGCAAATCATTTGGCGCTCTAGCTAACAGGAAGTCAATCAAGTGTCACAAAGAAATGTAGCCTATGGGTAGGTCAAAAATCGAATGGGTGCTGGCCATTGGCCTAATCATATCACCTGTGTTGGCTTTATGTTTTTGGTCAAAAATGTGTTTGTTTCACATTTGCATTGATGTAATCAATAATTTTTCTAATTTAATTTAATAAAAATAATAATAATAATCTTCGAAAAAAAAAAAACCACATATTTCTTGGGGGTGCTTAGGGGGTGATTTGGCAATCCTGGGGGGTGCTTCAGCACCCCCTAGCTCCCCTCTGGCGCCGCCCCTGTGTGGACCTGCAAGTCGCGCAAATGTTACGTAAATATAAACCTGCGGCGGAAATCCCTCTTGTCTGTCAATGGGAGAATCTAGTAATTCTAGTAACTTCTCAGTGAACCATGAGGCCAAAATGGCCTGACTATCATTGGCCCATAGAGAGTGCACACTTGCATTTTGCTTAAGTCCCGCTTCAAATTCGCAGAGTCAGGGCCGATTTCAGAGTGGTCAGATTAATGAAAAGAGAAACTAACTCTGGATTCAGTTATTAGCGCATTTTACAACTCTTAGACCCTAATGATTTATATAAGAGCTATAAAAGTGTTTGTACTGGGAAGTTGATTTAGTTAGTATTACCCTTACTTTAAGATTTCTCTTTCCCAAAGGCCATAATGATGTCACAGAATGACACATAAATTGTAGTCCCACCGTTGGGCCTTTTTTTCAACGCCGTCGCACTTCCTGGTTTTGGTTGCAGAAAAATACGACTCAGAGAACCATTTCCTAGATATTATATGTTTTAACATATAAATTCAATAACTATATTTCTGTTCAGAACTGCTTGTAAATATGTAATCAATCAATCAATCAATGTTATCATTATTGTTTTATATACTCATTTAAACATATGTAAAGGGTATAAGTCACTATGAAAACATTATTATTTTTATGATGGGTTTATTTGATTCTACGTATGAGTGTGTAAATTAATCTGCTATAGTGCCATAAAAAAGTCTACAATGGAACCGACTCTAGGTATTATGCACACATCTTTATATTATCAAACCAAAACTGTGTGTGCAAAGCATAGACTGTATAGACTATATATATAAATGGACGTAGTGTCGGTGACGTCACCCATAGGATTCTGTAGAGTTGCCGTGAAGCCCTTAGTAGGCGGAGTCGGCCACTAACGGCCGGCTGTGACGTCAGAGTCTAATCCCGCCTGCTCAAAGAGGCGGAGCCGAGGCGGGACCTGCTGCCTCCGAACTGGAAGTAAACAGAGCTAGCTCAGGCTAAGCTAACATGAAATACATGCATATCAAGTCACTGCTAACAGTGTAGTTCCCCTATATAAACGTTACATTCATAATCAAATGAGACAATCTGCAAGAGAATTAGCTATATTTTGTTATTCTTAATGCTTGTCATTCACACGTTGAGAAAAGACGGACTCCACCGCCCGGACCTAACGGAGCCGCAGTGGGCTAGCTCCGGGACGCCACTGGGATAATCGGGTCCCCTATTAACATTTGCTCCCGTTTAGCATTAGGGCGTCATAGCCATAGACTATAAAAGTCTTACCCAAGGCTGAATCTGTCACAAGTTAGACACTTCTATTATTGTTTGTTTGGTGGCTCAACTAAACTCTCCTGTCATTTCAGATCCCGCCTTCCTCCAGGCCCTTGTAATCAGCTCACTTCCCTCACCTGGTCTCCCCAGCCCTTCCCCTCACCTGTTACTCATTCCCTCATCACTCCACAGTATTTATACCACCTCACTATCACTTGTCCTTTGCCAGATTGTCTTGTCGTTTCCGCCAAGCTCTCCAGTGAGTGTTGTGCTCTAGCCTAGATGTTTGTCCTGCCCGGTTTTTTACCCCTGCCTGCCTGTTTACGGATCTCGAGTTCCTGCCTGCTCCCTGTCTGGTTTTGGTTGCCTGTCTGACGGATTTCCTGGTTTTGACCCTGCCTGTCCCTGACCTGAATAAACTGAACATTGCTACACTGGTTGTATCTGAGTCGTGCTATTGGGTTCTGATCTGTACCTGTGATCGTGACAGAATCATAAACTAAAATGTATATGTATGCATAAAGGGTTACGTCCTTAGCTGGCTCATAAGTAACAAGCTAAGCTACCAAGCACACAAACACCTGCGAACGGGGTTAACATGTATAATATTATCATTTTAGACTTCTTGGAAGTTCTGTTAGTACATTCAAGCGCACAGCACAACATTTTAATTGTCTGGTATTTGTAACAATATTCCCTAAAAGGCACAATCACCACGAACACGGCTAAAGCTAAAGGGTCAAGTACAGTACTATGACTAACTAACGTTGTAGCCTCTATGGTTGTAGCCTAGCAGAGTGGACAAGTTGCTGTTAGCTGACAGTGAGGCATGGACGTGTCCATCAAAGTGACCACGCCCTAATTTATGCAAACACTTTAAGACCTAATATAAATAAAAGGGTCGTGTTAGAAAACAATTCACTCACAGATTCATAATCATGAAGGTGGAACCTAACTATATCGATAATAATATTTATTGCATCCATGGGTAGAAACATGTTTTTTTCTGCTGTAAAGTTGGGCATTTTAACATGGGGGTCTATGGAAATTGCTCCTTTCTGCAGCCAGTCCCTAGCGGCCCATGTATGAACTGCAGTGTGTGGCACCGTATTGGCTTCCCGGCTCTACCCCACAGTTTGCCACTTGGTGCAAAGTCATTCAGCTCGGCAGTGCAATACACACATTTGCTGCAGGAGAGCAGAAGTACCAAAGCAATTAGCAATGTGCATTTATGGAGGACAGATCCACAGCTCAGCCAGGGGGGGAACACTTGCAACAATCTGAGTCTGGTGGCTGACTTAACTGTTAACTCAATGAACAACTGACATATTCTGCCTAACCTTTACCTTTAATCACAGCCTTACTAGGAAGGAAGTAATGATTGCATAAACGATAACTGATTAAATGTTCCTGTAGGTAATTACTCTAGCAGCTGACCTGTTGAGAACACAGACTGATATTATAAAAAAATATGATGGTAGGGAAACTTTATTGATCCTATTTTATTGCTGACTTTTATCTTTAGAGAATTGAGACATTTACATTATACCCAGTGCAAAGATGCCAACAGGCATGCAGGTAACAACTATGTAAGCTGCTGCAGCATAGTGAGCACAGCACACTTCCTCCTTACTGTTAATAACACACCAAAACCTGGAAAGTGATAAAGGTCAGCTGAGGAGAAATGGCCTGACCATGATGTTGTTTAAGTATGAAGAGGACACCTTACTTTGCCCTCTGTCAGTCCAAGTGGTCAATGGTCATTAGATGCTAATAATTGCAGCTGGTCAACAGCCTCTTGAGATGTTTTAGCAGACAACATAACATGTATCGTCCACTTATCTAATCGCAGCATCATAAAGTGTGGAGGGACACAAGTTCAGACAACATGCACTGAAGGCATGCAGTTATCTCACACTGCACACGAATCACTCTAGATAGAACCACTGTACTAATAATACTTTCAAAGCTAAGTGAAGTCCAGAAAGTCAAGTAGCATATGACAAAATGTTTCTTTTGACAAGACACACTATTTAATCTCCCTTAAGAACGGCTTATAGACAGAAACTATATCATTTGATCTTTTTATGTGTTGGGTCGGTTAGATGGTTCAGAGTGACATATCTCAACCACTGCTGGATGGATTCCACAAACATCTTGTACGAACTTCTCTCTGACTCCAACACCACCTGCAGGTCTGCTTCCTTTGGTTTGACACCAATTACCTACACAACCAATGACATTCCCGTCAGACTTAATTGTCTTGTTTTTTTAGTGCTATTTACCAAATGTTGGTCTGCTAAAACAGTAAACTAAGATAGGGATAATGGTATGCAGAGCTGGAAGCATGGCCCTCAGGTTGGACACAAAACACCATGCTTTTCTGAAGAGTTGCCATGCATCATGAGTGTAGAAAACACCCCCACAGCTGTGTCCTGACAGAAGCATAGCACAGGGATAGCATAGCGCAGCTCAAAAGTTAAACATAAGCTCACACACAGCCTAATTTGCAAAGAGAAATTCAGTACAATCTTTTGCCAAGAATAGGTTTGGTGCCTGAATGTTGCTGATACCTACGTTGCATGTCTAACAGTCTCTGAGAGCTAAGCGTAAGTGCATCATCAATGTGAAATAGTAGAAAGATAATGGGGTATTCCCATAAAGCTGACATGTATGAGATGTATGAGAGCAAACAAAGTCTGCACCCTCCTGCTGCAGACTGGACTTTAAACTGTATGAAAGTTTCCAAAGTGAACTTTCAACTGGATTATAATAGAGTGTTGTCTATAAGGGACTTACTGTACTTCTTTGTCTCTCGCATATCTCAACCATACTGCATGAAATGCACATAGATCAAATACAAATGATTAGCACTGTTAGCTTTAGCTTTCACACCATGTCCTCCACCAGGGTAGGAGCTAGTTCAGTTAAGATGAGGAAGAATTGATTCAATACAATATTCATAAGCCCCTTTATATTTTTGTATTTGTTGGTGAGCAAAACAGCTTATGAAAAAGGTGTAAACCTGAGAATGGGGGGGGACTTACGTTCCACTCTTTTCTCCAGCATGGCCAGACGGTTGGTGACCTCGGTCTTCAGCTCGTTGATCTTGAATGCCCTGCAGACAGATGGAGAGGGAGGGAAAAAAACATTTGAACAATAAATATTATTGTGTATTTGTATACAAACATATATACCTTAATCAAAGTGTTTTTAATCAATCATATAAGATATAGATTTCGATATAGATATCGATATATATATCCCTGTAGTGCTCCATTGTAGACCATCATATTGCATAACCATTAGACAGCTGCAAATCAACACATTTCTGAATCAACAGGATTTCAGCTCCATTTGTCAAACTAAATTATATTTTGAAATCTCAAATAATCAGTTTACAAGTCACTCATGGAAATCATTTCTGAAGCGTTATAGTCGCTCTCTCATTCTTCATGGAACAACTCTAACAGTGCCATCCCTGCTAAGTACTGAATAATCACTAGGTCATAACAAATAAGGCAACTTCTATCACATCTGCTAATTGATAATCCAAGAATGCAAATAGATCTCTGGCTGTGACACACAATTAGCAACCACAGGCCAACGTGCTGCTGTTCCCTTCGGCCCAATGGACTCATGTTGGACCTGTGCACAACTGCTTCGCAGGATGTCATCACACAGAAACACTTCCTGTCTATGATGCAGGTTTAAAGAAAAAAAAAAAGCATAAGCAGAGAGGTTCCCAGCACTGATCACACACACAGGCGTTCACACGGTGGTGCTGCTGCTGCTGCTGGTGCAAACCCTCTGTAAGAGTCCTCTGTCTCTTGAGACCAGGAAATACATTTTCATCAAGCTTCGAAAGGAAGTTTTCTCTTAACAGTACGCTAGAACAAACTGAAAGGAAGACACGATAGAGAGTAATAAAACTAAACAAATTGTTCACAGTTGATACAAAAACATAGAAAGTATGAATAAGTAATAACTCAAATATTTGCTGCAATATGAATGAGTTCACGGTGAAGAGTTGATGCTGCTTACCTTGAGAACTGTTCTGCCACCTGTGTCAGTACATTCTGAAAGAGTTCCTCTTTATCTGAGGAGAGCACACACACACACACACACACACACACACACACACACACACACACACACACACACACACACACACACACACACACACACACACACACACACACACACACACCACACAACACACACACAACACACACACACACACACACACACACACACACACACACACACACACACACACACATGTCAACAGCCTGTTGGAGTCCAGTGTAAACAGCTTGAATCCACTGAGGCAGAATATTTCATAATAAATACTATAGCACCTAGAACGACTACACACTGACATCAATACATGCAGAGCTGATGTAAGCTAATCCGAGGGCATGAGATGTCCTGAGCAACAGATGGCAGAGCCAGTAGAGTGAGAAGAGAAGGAGAAATGTCCCTCTGGTCTCACCGTGAGCAGCAGAGCGTCTGCAGAATGGCTGACAGCTTGATGTGTTAACAAGCACTTCTGATCCCTCTTCCCATTCACTGGCAACAGGCTGGACTCACTAACACAGCCCTGCCATTGGCTAAAAGCTCCACTGTTGTGGGCAAAGTCCAACACCACAGCCAACAAACTAACAGCTACGAGAAATTGTAAAAAGAAAACAGCTATGTAGTTTGTACATTGTGTCATTCCCATTCCCTGTTTCACAGCAGGTCACAGGTCAGTGAGGACTTCCTCTCTCTGATTAATGAAGCTGCTTCAGCGGACTGATCTCACACATCACATGGCATGGTTCTGTTTGCAGCTGTTTGAAATAACAGCTGTTTGAGTGGGACTGAGTATTACTGGCTAAGAGGAGGATTCATCATTATTTGATTGATTGATTTATTTAGCCTTCTAAAGTGACCTCTTACTTTATAAAGGAATTTGGCAACTTCTCATTTTTAACACTTTAAAGAAACAGAAGAGGAGAATACACACACTGAACCGTGTGCTTGTTATGTCAAGGCCTTTTCCACATCTGTCACAACCTCTGCGAGTGAGCACAGCTTCAGAGATATATATCTGAGATATGTATATGGTAAATATGTTTACATCTGAACAACAGCTATAGCCACATTTAAAGGTGTAAGCTATTCATTTATAGCTAGGTAGTAGATCATAGGAATAGGAAAATATGTTCCCTTTCGATCTCATTGCTTGTGTAAGGGATTATGAAACATTGTGATGAGGTCAATTCCTGTTCCCAGGCTCACTAAAAACAAACATCTATACCGCTGCAGTTCGGGGTTCAGATGCATGCTAAAGATACTTTTGATCTAAATTGCAATCAACAGCTTGATGAAGAAACCCACATTACTGCAGGAGAAGTTTGACATTTGGGGGAATCTGCTTATGGCCATGAAGTAGTTACACCCCCTCTGAAAGGAAGGAGGTGAACATTAATGTATAGATGTTATGTCATTGAATGGCTTTAGCTGAGTGTGTGTTTTATGTGTGTGTGTATGCATGTGTGT